ACCAAATGGGAAAGTAGACACATTTTATGGATAACAACTTCTTTAATATTGTAAAGGTGATGTTTCAGTATAGATCCTTATACCAATGTCAAGCAAGACCTACAGGATCTATACGAAACGTGGCCTACAGTATTAAAGAAGTTGTTATCCATAGATTGTGTCCACTTTGTCATCCGTCAACTTCTGAGTAATGCCTATCAAACAATACTACCAAAGGGGTGTCGCATAAATTAATAGATACTGCTCAAAAAGGTTAAGGATCATTGATTCTTTCATATTACTGTAGTTCTAAGAAAGAAAAGGTGCTCCTTCAAGGTTTGAGTGTTATAATCCATCATACTTTTGTCTAAGATTTGTTAATACTGTCTTTTATTCAAGTTATAAGTTACATTGTTGACAGCACCAAGTGTCGGAGCTGCAGGAGTTGTAGCTTGTCCATCAGCTCATCTCCACCATGTTGTGTCTGTGTTCTGGTCAGACGAGTTAGGCTACAGCTTAACAACCACTACGTGACTCGAGACCAAGCATTTTGGCAAGTGCTACAACAGGCTCTGACTAGAGTGAGTGAGTGTTGAACACGACACTCAACAATATTCCAGCAAATTCACTGCTGTCTGCTAACAATCAAGTCAGACAAGACAGCCAGTCTCAAAGAGAACAATCCAGTGGTACCATGACATGGAATCAGCCATGTCACCAAGTCTGACAAGCCAATCTTCAGTAGATTGCTTTTACAAGCATGGGATACTGGGGACCTATTCTACCCCCTCATCCGTACCAGAATGTCAACAACCTTCGTCACGATTGCATACATACATTACACTCTACATCTGCCATGTTTATTTAATGTCTTAATGTAAGGCAAAAGAACCACTGGCCAGTGTAGGAATGGACAACATTCTGCTCAGCCTAAATCAATAATAAAAGAATCCGAAGATACATCATTTTACGTATGCTTCAATCAATTATTAACCTAATGTTAACCTAGCTTTAATTCTATCAGCATTTAAAACAGAATACAAAAACAAGAAAAAAAGAGAATCTATTTCCATAGTAACAGTTCTATATTATTCTTGCATACTGCAGTAATGCTAATTGTGGAGAACTACTGCTATGCCTAATACATTACACTTTCTAAACATACAAACTTGAACTGAACAAATCAACAACATAATACTAGAGATATCTGCCTCCATACCAAATACATCCAAATCTACCCATGCTCATAATCACCCATAATCACCAAGTATTTGGAAAAAATACACACCAAAAAAAGAAACTGATTAATCATGTGCTCAAATTTTCCATAAATACCCCACATAATTTGAAACCTAATTACACTTAAATCACTAGCATTAGTTTCTGATAACATTTCTTCAATGACATCAATGTGATAATATCTTCCCAATTTTCAAGTTTTTCAAAACAAGGAATTTTTTTTCCATCATTGTGACTTCCAAATTAGTAATTGTATAAACTGTTAGAATCTAGGGGTGCAACCATGAGTTGATGCTACCATGAGTTGATGCTACCATGAGTTGAGACAGGATGGATAACCATGCTGATCGTAAACAAGCAGCAAATACCTATTATCTAAAACTACATTACTACAAACCTTTGCTTTTCTATAATTTGAATGTCGGTTTACCGAGAAGGCAACAAATATTCTGTCTGCATGTTCCATAGTGTGTGTGTTATTTCTGTGGAATCTTCATTAAAACTTTCAATAAAATGCTACACTAATCTGTTGAAGACACTTATTACAAACTCAAACAAGATTCATTAATCTCTGAAAATGGGAACTACAATCCTGACACTCCTTCTTGACTTGTTAACAACCAAGGGTTGCCATGGCGATATTAGTGCCGCCATATGTCAGTGACAGCTGCTCTGAAAACAGTTTTCCATGTCTATATTAGGAATGTAATGCATGTTTGTAAATACTATTCCGCTTCCATTGCCTGTTTGCCAGACCAGACCACTACCCAGACAGACGAAGGGAGTTGCTAGCCATTGGCAAAGAACCTTGACTGCCATTGTACAGTACCACAGTGACTTTGGATAACACAGGTGTGATTCCTTAGACTTTGGACAACACAGGTGTGATTCCTTAGACTTTGGATAACACAGGTGTGATTCCTTAGACTTTGGATAACACAGGTGTGATTCCTTAGACTTTGGATAACACAGGTGTGATTCCTTAAGAGACTTTGGATAACACAGGTGTGATTCCTTAAGAGACTTTGGATAACACAGGTGTGATTCCTTAAGAGACTTTGGATAACACAGGTGTGATTCCTTAGACTTTGGATAACACAGGTGTCATTCCTTAGACTTTGGATAACACAGGTGTGATTCCTTAGACTTTGGATAACACAGGTGTGATACCTCAGTAACCGTGGATAACACAGGTGTGATTCCTTAGACTTTGGATAACACAGGTGTGATACCTCAGTGACCTTGGAGTACAGGGGTGGTGACAGCTACCTGACCATGATGGCACATCAACTGGGCCTGTTTTCACAGAACCAATATGAAATCTCACTTTCCCATAACTAAATAACACTAATGTTTCTAAAACTGACTGCAAATTTGGCAACCCAAACTTCCTTGATTTCCCTATCTATCCTGAGCAGCTTGCACTGAATATTCCTAAACATATGATTGAACAACTCAAACAGCACTGCCGACAAGAGAGAAACAGAGGACACGTCTCCGCCCTCTCTGGAAGCCCCACAGCATCAACACCGTGCAGGTACTAGCATATGGTTCTGAGGTATTGCATTATCATGGCGAGACTGAGTACCAGAGACAGAAGTGAGTGAGTGAGTAAATACCTTCTTCACATCTTCATAATAATTCATTCACACCATTACATTACACACACACACACACACACACACACACACACATATATATATAAAATAATAGATATACATATATGTATACTACATTCAACAACTGCATTTAGAATGCATTGCCACTTAAAACTTTTAAATGTTCTTAAAACACTTAAATCAGTCCATTTCAACATATAACTTGGAAACCTGAATAAGAATAGCTGTATGCACCTCCAGATTGTGGATGACAGAGTCACAAACACAACTCTTAAATATTTTGAGGGGGGCATTTTCTTAGAGATACTGACAATCAATTTTTGTCCAGTTCTGGAACAAATTCTTTCTTTCAAAAATAGCCGATGCTCCACCCCAATAATATCAATGGTCACTCCCCTATTGGATGAAGTGGCATAGCAAGTCCTGATACACCCATCATAATCAATACTCCGCCTAGTGGTGGTTGTAGTGTACAAGGGGGAGACAACTGTTGGTTATGCTATGTACAATATACAAGAATATTAAAGTAATTATGCTATTGTTTTGTTTAACCTAAACCACCTCAGCCCTATAGGTCCAGTTTTACATATCCACAGTACATGATAATCATTTTGACAAGGTCTGTGCTGCTGCCCGCATCAACTGGACAGGTAACACCACAGAGGAGGAGCTTCACACGTTGAACCTATGTGAAATCAAACACGGATGTACCAACAAGTAAACCACATGGCCACCCCAACACATATCTTCCCCAGGGAGTTGAAAGTTTGCTCAATAATATTTAACTATTGACATGAGAGTTAGACTTCACATACCATTGCCTGCCAGTGATCAACAGAGTTTACAGAACAGGCTCAAACCCAGAAATATCTCAGGAGAGCAGGAACTCTTTCCACCAAACCAGGCATCCTGACAGTTAAGGGCTACCTCAAAGTTTGTAAACACAATTACACTGGCTTTGTTTGGGAGTCTGTCATGACCCTATCTGACACTTCTGAAACAAGGTCTCATGAAGCATGTTCCCGAGGTGGTGAGGTGTGGTGAGGTGAAATGGGGTTTGCTTGAGAGTGCTGATGGTGAGGCATCAGGTGGTTTAGGTTAGCGTGAGGGTACCATGGTTTCAGTTGATGATGGTGGTAAGGGAGACAATTACCAGGTGTCTGCACTGTTCATTACAAAAATAGAGCAAGTTTATTCCAATCATACTTTGCCAATGAGACAATATTGGTATCACAGCAGGGACTTCACTCCATCATCAAGACTTATCCTAGAATGTTTGATAGATGTAAAACCAAATACACGAGAGATGTTAAAACTATAGAAATAAACCATGTCTGGCATTTGTTGCACATAGACAGTGAGTGAGTGAGTTGGGTTTAACGCCGCTTTTAACAGTATTCCAGTTATATCACGGTGTATCAGCTTAATGTGGGAGGAAAGCCCGAAGTGATGTAGGTCTCAGACGTTTACCACATCGGTGAAACCCACAAGCACGGGTATGGTGCTGACAAACCGAGAAACATAATCAGGGCGAACCCACAAATCATAGGTTTCTGGCGTGCCCAAGTGACGCAACTCTGCACAGCGAATCGCGGCGCCTTAGACGACTGGGCCACCCGTGCCCCCTGCACATAGACAGTGTACACGGACATAATATGTCACTATCTGCTCTTATACATGAAATACAGACGCAGACATCCACAGTCACTCTGTGTTGTCACCACTTAGAAACTAATTTCTTCAGAAAATAAACTGAAAATAAACAGAGTACCGGAACCTTCTAAACAAAGTTACCCAGACTACCTTCCTTGAGAACAAATTTGAAGAGTGAGTGAGTATGGTTTTACACCGCTTGTAGCAATATTCCAGCAATATCACGGCAGGGGACACCAGAAATTGGCTTCAAACATTGTATCCATGTCGGGAATCGAACCCGGGTCGTCGGCGTGACAAGCGAACACTTTAACCGCTAGGCTACCCGACCGCCCCTTAAATTTGAAAAACATCTTTCCCAGGTAAACCTTGACTGCAAGAAACAGACAAACTCTTCAAACCATTATACTGAATAACCTGCTTGACTTAAATCATATAACACAGTTCTGTTTATCCATTATCCAAAGTAATGTTGATGAATAACGTTAATAACAGACATAATACATCATATCAGTCATACCCTGCTTTACTAGTCTGGACTCTGTCATATGGCATTATTCAATATGTTTTACATCATTATCGATATTTCTCAACAGGGATATGAAATCTTAACAGTCAAAACGTGAATATGATCAGAGTTGGTGGACTGGGTTGCCTCCCCTTGATCAGAGTAAACAAGGATTTGACCTCACTTTTAAATAACTTTGATCTTAGAAGCTGGATAATTGTTTTTCATTCTACTCATGAATGAGTAAACCACTCAGGGAGAGAGGGATAGTTATGTCATGTGAAGATTTTAATTATTAATATTTTAACAATCTTCCGTTCTAGTTTGCACTGGTTAATTGTCTTATATCCCTGACCTACTAGGGTTAGAATATTGAGAGTAATTTGGTGGTGCAATGGGTTGAGAAGCATGAGATCAAGGGGAGGTAACTCATCTATCACAGTAGCAAATAATTCAACAAGGGGGAACAACCCTGCAAGGCTAGTTCTGATGACTTACGGACTTCATAACAGCAAGGACAACAAGACAACAAGCCTGACAGATCCAAAATAAATATACCATTTGTTAAAAATTCATCATAAATCTTTTTCCATATATAAATAAAATTGTGCACATGGAAACCCAGAGTATTCCAGTATTCCACGTGTTTGTTTAACAGGACTTAGACAAATATGTACACAACACTGTAGAAGAAAATACAAACAATATATACACAGAACAGTCATTTCAACATACAGAGACAATGTGTACATACTTATTCCAATACACCAAATCTGGGGGTCTAGCACCTCTATAGTCAGTTCAGATGATTTCCAGTCAGTGTTTCCTAGACAAGCAGCAAGGATGGGGCTGAGTCAGCATCAGTGCATGGTCAATAATGTGGTGTTGGGAGCTACACGGGCGTGGTTAGGTTGTTGAAAAGAGTGTCGGCATTATTCCAAAAATACTTTCACTTGAAAGTCGTCACATGAGTTGAGCAGCATCAGTATCGGGATCCCAACATGCCAAATTTGGTTTGAGGTAAGAATGGCGAAATCTCAGTCACATGATCCATCACATGATCCGTCACGTGATCAAGCATGACTACACATTGGTTTCAAATTGTACAGAGATAAAAATCCTGGATTCCACACGCTGTAGACATGCCTGATCCATCTCCATGACAACAGACACTTTCTCCCTTCTGCATCTTGGAGTCCACTATTGTAAAGAGGGGTGTTCAGGTTTTTTTTCCTGAAATGGGACAATCCTGTATTTCAAGAGAACATTTTACTTCCCAGTTTACTGAACCTCATGTTCAGTACAAATACCCATACTATCATAATGGACTATCCCATCCACTGTCTGTGGCAAGTCTATTACTGCTCCAAGGTAGTACAAGATGCCATTGATCAGTCCTTTGCCTCCAAAGAAGTGACAGTCTATACTGTTAGCATTCCTCGAAGCTGAATGAATGCTGTCAAGTTTTATCAGAACTCTGCTTAGTTTCATCAAACGTCTTTCCTGTCTGGGGGAGTGTGGCCGTGGGGGGAGGCGACTCTGATTCTTCTTTGATTGACTCCATCTCTTTAATTTCAGACTTCTCATTAAGCATATCAGGCTGAAAAGAAAGGTATAACAATGTTTAGATGTAGAGGAAACAAAGTATCAGTTTACCTGTATCACCTAGCGTTTTGTGTTGGATGAAGCAAACGAAAAATCCACATTGTTGCTATTACAGTCAAATGTCTTTTTTGTGACAAGCATGGGAGGGCATATTCTACAGTGACTCTCCTTTTAGCAAAGCATAATACTGATGACCTATTCTCACCCTGAAATACCTTGTTCAATGAGATTGGGATATGAGGGGCCTATTCTGTCCTGACTCGGCCTGACCACAAGCACAGGGTACGAGGGATGTCATTCATCCCGTCCGTGTACTGAACTGACCTGCATCGAAGTCTGACTCATGTCCACCTCATTGGCCATCCGCTCGGCCTCCTCCTCCCTCAGTTTTATCATCCAGTAGTCATAGTTATCCTTCATGTTCTTTGTGAAGATGCAGTTGACCTTCCGTGTCTTCTTCCTCTTGGCAGGAACCACCAGCCCTCCACCTGCAACACAACACCGTGTGTCAGACTCCACTCAACACAAACCACAACTAACACAACATGACCCTGCCAGTAACACAACATGACCCTGCCAGTAACACAACTAACCCTGCCAGTAACACAACATGACCCTGCCACTAACACAACACCCTTTATCATACCTCCATGTCAGAATGATGAGATCGATTGGTCCACGTAATCTTGATAAAAATACTGTGTATCTCGCCTTGGAGGGAAATAAATTTCTCAACGGGGGAATAAATCCCTTTCACCCCGCCAATGGCAAGTCAGGCTGCAGGTGGATTTCTGAGAAGCAGAATAAATCCCTTATACTCCGCTTTGAGGCAAAAAGCCGCACACTTTTTCCAAGTCGATGAAAGTCTGGTGACATGGCACAAGTGAACCTCAGCTCAATCAAACAGCTGTTTTCTATCAATTTTGAATTTGTTTGAATTCTTTTACAATGTCATGTTAAAACATGTCGGTAAGAAAAATTTGTTGTAGCAGGATCCACTCGGGGCACATGGGGTTTCCGGCTCATGGTATAAAACCTAATGCGGGACGCATCAAACCTCTCGTATGTACCTCTCGTATGTATCTCGTATGTACCTCTCGTATGTACCTCTCGTGATCCTGCTACACCTTTTGTGTCCTACTCAACACAATACCACCCACCACTCCTAAGACATGAAACACCTTGTGTTAAACTCAACATAACATCTTGTGTCAGGATTTAACACATTTAATATGTGATTTTCTTCCTAGCAGGACATATAATCTGTAATTACCCCCAGCAGGACATATAAGCTGTAATTACCCCCAACAGGACATATAATCTGTAATTACCCCCGGCAGGACATATAAGCTGTAATTACCCACAGCAGGACATATAAGCTGTAATTATCCCCAGCAGGACATATAAGCTGTAATTACCCCCAACAGGACATATAATCTGTAATTATCCCCGGCAGGACATATAAGCTGTACTTACCCCCAGCAGGACATATAACCTGTAATTATCCCCAGCAGGACATATAAGCTGTAATTATCCCCAGCAGGACTTATAATCTGTAATTACCCCCAGCAGGACATATAATCTGTAATTACCCCCAGCAGGACATATAATCTGTAATTATCCCCAGCAGGACATATAAGCTGTAATTATCCCCAGCAGGACATATAATCTGTAATTATCCCCAGCAGGACATATAATCTGTAATTATCCCCAGCAGGACATATAAGCTGTAATTATCCCCAGCAGGACATATAAGCTGTAATTATCCCCAGCAGGACATATAATCTGTAATTATCCCCAGCAGGACATATAAGCTGTAATTACCCCCAACAGGACATATAATCTGTAATTACCCCCAGCAGGACATATAATCTGTAATTATCCCCAGCAGGACATATAATCTGTAATTATCCCCAGCAGGACATATAATCTGTAATTATCCCCAGCAGGACATATAAGCTGTAATTACCCCCAACAGGACATATAAGCTGTAATTATCCCCAGCAGGACATATAATCTGTAATTACCCCCAGCAGGACATATAATCTGTAATTACCCCCAGCAGGACATATAATCTGTAATTACCCCCAGCAGGACATATAATCTGTAATTATCCCCAGCAGGACATATAAGCTGTAATTACCCCCAGCAGGACATATAATCTGTAATTACCCCCAGCAGGACATATAATCTGTAATTATCCCCAGCAGGACATATAATCTGTAATTATCCCCGGCAGGACATATAAGCTGTAATTATCCCCAGCAGGACATATAATCTGTAATTATCCCCAGCAGGACATATAAGCTGTAATTATCCCCAGCAGGACTTATAATCTGTAATTACCCCCAGCAGGACATATAATCTGTAATTACCCCCAGCAGGACATATAATCTGTAATTATCCCCAGCAGGACATATAATCTGTAATTACCCCCAGCAGGACATATAATCTGTAATTATCCCCAGCAGGACATATAAGCTGTAATTACCCCCAACAGGACATATAATCTGTAATTATCCCCGGCAGGACATATAAGCTGTAATTACCCCCAGCAGGACTTATAATCTGTAATTACCCCCAGCAGGACATATAACCTGTAATTATCCCCAGCAGGACATATAAGCTGTAATTATCCCCAGCAGGACATATAAGCTGTAATTACCCCCAGCAGGACATATAAGCTGTAATTACCCCCAGCAGGACATATAATCTGTAATTACCCCCAGCAGGACATATAACCTGTAATTATCCCCAGCAGGACATATAAGCTGTAATTATCCCCAGCAGGACTTATAAGCTGTAATTACCCCCAGCAGGACATATAAGCTGTAATTACCCCCAGCAGGACATATAATCTGTAATTACCCCCAGCAGGACATATAATCTGTAATTACCCCCAGCAGGACATATAACCTGTAATTATCCCCAGCAGGACATATAAGCTGTAATTATCCCCAGCAGGACTTATAATCTGTAATTACCCCCAGCAGGACATATAATCTGTAATTACCCCCAGCAGGACATATAATCTGTAATTATCCCCAGCAGGACATATAAGCTGTAATTACCCCCAGCAGGACATATAATCTGTAATTACCCCCAGCAGGACATATAAGCTGTAATTACCCCCAGCAGGACATATAAGCTGTAATTACCCCCAGCAGGACATATAATCTGTAATTACCCCCAGCAGGACATATAATCTGTAATTACCCCCAGCAGGACATATAAGCTGTAATTATCCCCAGCAGGACATATAATCTGTAATTATCCCCAGCAGGACTTATAATCTGTAATTACCCCCAGCAGGACTTATAATCTGTAATTACCCCCAACAGGACATATAAGCTGTAATTACCCCCAGCAGGACATATAATCTGTAATTATCCCCAGCAGGACATATAAGCTGTAATTATCCCCAGCAGGACATATAATCTGTAATTACCCCCAGCAGGACATATAAGCTGTAATTATCCCCAGCAGGACTTATAATCTGTAATTACCCCCAGCAGGACATATAAGCTGTAATTACCCCCAGCAGGACATATAATCTGTAATTATCCCCAGCAGGACATATAATCTGTAATTATCCCCAGCAGGACTTATAATCTGTAATTATCCCCAGCAGGACATATAATCTGTAATTATCCCCAGCAGGACTTATAATCTGTAATTATCCCCAGCAGGACATATAAGCTGTAATTACCCCCAACAGGACATAAAATCTGTAATTACCCCCAGCAGGACATATAAGCTGTAATTACCCACAGCAGGACATATAAGCTGTTATGCCTCCATGTTAAATCAAGTGACAAATTCCCACCAAATTATTTAGCAGCTTGTAGCCACCTCGTACCAAAGTCGTACAGCTTGTATCTAGATTGTTGTGTTCATATGCAACTCTTAATAGACTCCTATTGGACTCCTATGGGGCTCGTAACACACTTGTAGCGTACTCGTATGATACTCGTATATATGTAGTCTCTTCCCGAGTCCTAACCGAGTTAGGCTCGGGAGAGCTCAGCTCTGCTTAATCCCCCAAGCAGGATATATATATATATATATATATATATATATATATATAACATGCAATTCTCCTTGCAGGTCATATCCGTATACATGGCACTCTACATTGATCAATCTTCTAATTGTTTACACAAAAGACAAACATCTGTTAGACAGACAAAGCAGCTCATGGGTCTTTATTGGGTATTTAGGCCAAATACTGCTGTAAATCTCAAAAGGGAATGAACATAAGCAGACATTTCAAGGCAACCTGTTCAAAGAGCACCAAATTTCTTGGCAAGACTTGAATTTAAAATTTTGAAATTGAAAGTTGGCCAATCAGGACAGAAAGGAAGGAAAGCCCATGGAATCCACCTGGACCTCTCTAGACAATCCAGTGATCGATATTGTAAGCTGCAAAGTCGGGGTGTGATGACAAGCAATCAACCAAGTCACCAATCCGAATCACCCCGAACAATTTGGTTGCTTCTTATGAGTAAGTGATGACCAGCATAGGTTGATGGGGACCTATTCTAACCCGGAATCCCCAACAAAAACAAGCATCCACCGACAAGTCTCCATCCACTCACCTGACTCCTGGTCTGTCTCTGTCTCATCCTCTGTATCTTTACACGTGCTCTCTCCCTTGTCGGTGTCCGACTGACTCTCGCCGTCACTGTCCTCCTCCACCCATGTGCCCGGCAGCAGGCCCCCCATCACCATGGCGTTGCACAGTGGCGCCACCAAGTGGTTGATGAAGGTCTCCTGCAGTTTGGCCAGCTGGGGGTTGGTCCGGTCCATGTACGGGGAGATTGGCATCCCAAGCCTTGCCTCTTCATCTCCCTATTATCACAACATTAACATGTTAACATCGGTCTGGTGCCTACTGCAGCACTCATATAATAACACTGTAGGTGAGGTGAGGTGAGGTGAAATTGGGTTTAACGTCGCGTCCAAGATTATTGCACTTATATAGCTACATGTATGCACGTGTGTGTGTGTGTGTGTGTGTGTGTGTGTGTGTGTGTGTGTGTGTGTGTGTGTGTGTGTGTGTGTGTGTGTGTGTGTGTGTGTGTGTGTGTCTGTGTGTGTGTGTGTGTGCAAGCTTGTACTAGTCGGGACTAATACCGATTTATAGTACTACCTCACTGAGATACCATGCTGCAGTTTAACATGAATACCCCACTCAGACACAGACTCCGAGCCGACCAGTCCTTGTTTTAGACCCTTAATGCCGAGCACCAGACAAGGTAACAACAAGTACCATCTTTTAACGTCTTTTGGTGTGACGCGGCCAGGGATCGAACCCTGGACCTTCCGCTCTCCGGGCAGACGCTCTACCACAAGACCACGGAGGCGGCCTTAACACTGTAGGACCACAATCAATGGGTCATAAGATGTTCATCTGCACGACCATATAACCCATCGCACATACTGTCTTATGTACAGACAAAGATTTGTTTGATTGTCGTTTAACGCAGCACTCAGCAATATTCCAGCTATATGATGGCGGTTTGTAAATTATCAAGTCTGGACCAGACAATCCAGTGATTGACATCATGCGCATCGATCTATGCAATTGGGATACAATGACATGCATCAACCAAATCAGCAACTACCCGATTCCGTTAATTGCCTCTTACGACAAGCATGGGTTGTTGAAGACCAACTCGAACCTGGATCTTCAAGGGCCTATCATTACAATGATGTTTATAATTGCTATATGACTGTCACACAGTAACTAAAATTTTGTTTAAAACAACCTAACTGTATTAACATTTTTAAATCATAACTGTGTTTGTTTTTGGATATATTTGTGTTGACTTTGAAAACAAGATACACGCTGTTTGGGTTGTATACTGACCAGGGAGCTGAGAATGAAAATTGAGCACACCCTGATCCAGTAACCAGGACATTTTGGTCCGGGGCTGGGATTGAAACCTAAATCCTTTTTTAATCCTTGTCCACATGAGCAAAAAGGTTACAAGCTGACAAGGTACTGATACAATGTAACACACAGGCAGCAGACGTCGAAGATATCACTTGCAGAAATAAAGGTGAGGTGAAATGGAGTTTAACGTCGCGGCCAAGATTATTGCACTTATATAGCGATGTGCATGCACGTGTGTGTGTGTGTCGCTGCTTGTACTAGTCCGGACTAATGCCGATTTATAGTGCTAGCTCACTGAGATACCATGCTGCAGTTTAACATGAATACCCCACTCAGACACAGTATACTGACTCCGAGCCGACCAGTCCTTGTTTTAGCCCCTTTATGCCGAGTGCCAGACAGGGTAACAACAAGTACCATCTTTTAACGTCTTTTGGTATGACGCAGCCGGGGATCGAACCCCGGACCTTCCGCTCTCCGGGCGGACGCTCTACCACTAGACCACGGAGGCGGTCTGCAGAAATAAAGAGGGGGCAGGTGTGTGTTCCCGACACCCCCATTTTGTTCAGACCATAAATATCTACCTGTGATCCTACATGCGTACCAGCGAAATCCCCAATTAACGACCCCTTTCAACAAAAACTCCTGCATCTGCCCCTAACGGTGGGGGTGACAATGTGAGTGGTTTTAGGGTTATCTCCCTTGAACTGTGCGGACCTCAAGTATGGCACCCCTTGGTGTGTGTGTGTGTGTGTGTGTGTGTGTGTGTGTGTGTGTGTGTGTGTGTGTGCGTGCGTGGCTGCTTGTACTAGTCTGGACTTATGCCGGTTATATCGGCTTATTGACAAGTGCACGATCCATCCTATAACGTCTTTATGTATGACTGTCTTTATGTATGACTGTCCACTAGAAACACATCTAGTCCCTGTGCTAGAAAGGCATGTAAAAGTGTTGAAGATGTTCACCTACCTGCTCATAGAACTCTTCAGCTATACTCATAGTCCATCTCATGTGGAGGTCCTGCTTCTTGGCCGGACCATTGATGTCCGCCAGTTTGATGACCATCTGCATCACCAACAGCCGGTCAGTCTCCTGCGTCCAGTCAATGCCACTCGCATCCTCGTCATTTACCTGCAACACAGAGTTACAGTACAGTTTCGGGGAAAAACAATTCTTCACCATGTACACCAGTAACTTGTTAGGAAATCTGCTTCACACGTCCTTAGATTCTCATACAGCTCCCCTAGTGGGGATCCTGGGCTAAGATAGTTCGCCAGTAACCAATACTTGTACCAGATGACGAAATGGACTAGATCTCCAGCAATCAATACTTGTACCAGATGACAAAATGGACCTGGAGGTCAGGGTCGGTGAATTTTTTATTGTGATCAGATGTTGTGGTATTTTGCTCACAATATCAAACATTAGTTTGTCTGGTCCAGAAGCCACTACTTTCAGGTCGCCATCCCGTAGAGGGTATATTGTGGGTTAACAACAAGCACATATACAGTTCATTTTATCAACACAGAGAAAGTAAATTCTGTACATTGGTGCATTCCCAAGAGGGTGAGGATGCAAACTGAGCGTTCACTGATCTGCTGGGATTAGTTTGTTGTTAAATACCACGCTCAGCAATATTCCAGATACATGACGGTGGTCTGTAAATAGTTGAGTCAGGATCAGATAATCCAGTGATTGACATGATGAGCATGATGGATATGATGACATGCATCAACCAAGTCAGTGAGTCTGACCACCTGATCCCGTCAGTCGCCTTTTACGGCAAGTTCGGGTTGCTGAAGACCTATTCTACCCCGGATCTTCACAGGTCCCAGATACATGGAGACGAGGCTACCTGTGTCCACATTCACTACCTTTGTGTTGAACTCCGCAAGTATCTCGAAGTGGCGTTTGAGATCGGTGGCCAGGATAGCCTCTATCACCAGGAAGCGGAAGCGCTTGAACTCGGCGGCATCCAGTCCAGACAGGAAGTGGTTCTGTGGTTTCGTCAAAAATATTCTCCACGCCGATGCTGCATGATGGTTCTCTAACACCGAGCGGTCGTTGTACAGAACAGCCTGGGGGAGGAAACACGGGAGATTTATATATGTGAATGTGTGAGTGGGTTGGTGAGTGAGTAAGTTAATGTGTGGTTTGGTGTGAGTGAGTGAGTTAATGTGTTGTTTGGTGTGAGTGAGTGAGTGGGTGGATGGGTGTGTTGGTGAGTGTGTTGGTTAATGGGTTGGTGAGTGGGTTGGTGAGTGAGTAAGTTAATGTGTGGTTTGGTGTGAGTGAGTGAGTTAATGTGTTGTTTGGTGTGAGTGAGTGAGTGGGTGGATGGGTGTGTTGGTGAGTGTGTTGGTTAATGGGTTGGTGAGTGGGTTGGTGAGTGAGTAAGTTAATGTGTGGTTTGGTGTGAGTGAGTGAGTTAATGTGTTGTTTGGTGTGAGTGAGTGAGTGGGTGGATGGGTGTGTTGGTGAGTGGGTTGGTGAGTGGGTTGGTGAGTGAGTAAGTTAATGTGTGGTTTTGTGTGAGTGAGTGAGTTAATGTGTTGTTTGGTGTGAGTGAGTGAGTGGATGGATGGGTGTGTTGGTGAGTGTGTTGGTTAATGGGTTGGTGAGTGAGTAAGTTAATGTGTTGTTTGGTGTGAGTGAGTGAGTGAGTGAGTGAGTGGGTGGGTGGATGGGTGTGTTTGTGAGAGTGAATGTGTGAGTGGGTGGTGAGTGAGTGAGTGAGTGAGTTGATGAGTGAGTTTGGTTTAACACCACTTTGAACAGTATTACAGTAATATCTCAGTTCATATGGGAGGAAAGGCTGTGATGCAGGTCTTAGACGTTTACCACTTTGATAAAGTGCTGATGGGTATAGTGCTGATGAACTTAGAAACATACAGGCAAACCAGGATTTGAACCCAGGAAGTTCCTGTCCCACTACAAAGGGAGGCAACTCAAACTGCCACGCCTTGGATGACTGAGAACCCCTCTGGAGCATCAAGGCCAAAAACAATCCCAGCATGCTGTTCCCCTAAAAACAAATTAATGTCCATAAACTTTCATCAGGCCCTACCTGTGGTGCATTTGTTGCTACAAGGAAAGCGTTAGTGCGTCCGGGGTGATCGTAGTCGTGCATGGCGGCGGCGGTGTACATGGCCATCAGCTCCAGGGCCGGGAAGTTCCCCCCCATTATGCCGTAACTGTCTTCAGCAGCAAAACTCTGCCTATGAATAATACCAGTGCGATCACAGTTGTCGGATTCTGAAACAGAGCAGACGATTGGTTGTACAGGCTACGTCCTTCACTATATAATTCATCTACAGCGTTAGAAACTATAGAGGTCCCGGAATCTGTCAGGATTTGTCCATAAATATACATAAAGGTGCCATGGCAGATTAACTATAGTAATATAAAAGAATCGGGTGATCCTTAACTTATTCTGAGTAGAACATATGAATACACATCATTTTCTCCTAATTTATTAGATCTGGCGAACGACCAAAGATTTCAGATATGTAGAATAAAATCAGAATTTGAAAACAGTCTTTTTATCTTGTCTGTTAAACATTTACACAACTTGAAAGAAAAGTTCAAAGTAGGTCAAAATAGTAAAGGAAATAGCTTTCCATAAACAAACTACATTGTTGTTCCTTTTTAATTTCATCTGATAGAAAATAATATTTTAATGTCACTTAGCTGAATAATGTTATTTATTCCATGCAAGACATAGATTTTCAAAAACAACCTAACGCCCCTAAATCCATCATTTTCAAAACAAAAACCATTAACAAGGGCTCCAAGATAACTTCTGACACTGTGTCTGTACACAGACTTTACACAGCATCTGTTAGAATTATTTTCTACAGACTATGGAATGCAAGAAAGAAATTAGTACAAGTGAGTGAGTGAGTGGGTGAGTGAGTGAGTGTGTGCTGGCGGACCCACAGTCAGTAATATTCCAGCTATATTGAGGTGGATGGATGGTAAACAATTAAGTCTGGACCAGACAAACCAGTGACTGATAGCATGAGCAAGGACATCTGCTGCTGTGTTCTTGTGTTTTTGCACTTCATGACATATTTATCGCATGCAAGGCAGACCAGAAACATTCACTCGCTCACTACATCTGGGAGTGGTAGTATCTTCTACTGAACATGAGGCAAGGAGGGTTAGTCCATTTGTACTACAAAATTCAACATATTAAGGGTACAACGTATTAAGGGTACAAGGTAGAACAGAGCTTTCAAAGTCTGGCATTGCAGTTATTTAACAACAAACCATTATCTTAATGAGGAAGAATCCAGGTATTATTAAGTTACCAATTTTAATCCACAAAGGGACCAAATATATTAAAAAATATGCGAATGGTTGATTTGTGATTAATATGCAAAATAAACTCACAAAATATAATGTTTTAACACGCATACAACGACAAAGACGTTTAGGGTAGGAGTGTTTGTAAAAATGGACAATAATTGTCCTGGCAGACAAAATAAAAATTCAATGCTAGGTTTGTTAACAGGAACAGTGTGCTGCAGACTAGAGAGGTTAAGGAGAGAGATGTTACGAAGAAAAGAAAATGGCCGCTACAGGTAGCGCTAATGACTAGGCAGACGGCCATGCTGACAGTGATACCTGACTCACTGGACGACCCGTGGCGAGACAGAATATCTCCCGTTGTCACCTGCGTGAAGCCCGGAATGGGCTGAGTTGACAGGAAGTACACCCCGTGCAATACGTCCGTTGCGTGAACACGATTGTGATCTGCAATGTAACATAGCATCAGCATCATCATCATCATCATCGTCGTCATCACTAAAATAATCATTACCAAAACACTGACTATGATCAATCATGTCACTACACAATAATAAACAGCACAATCATTATCATGATGGCAATCACCAACACAATCATCACCGCAACACAATCATCAACACAATCGACATCACAATCATCATCAACACAATCGACATCACAATCATCATCAACACAATGATCAACAACACAATCTTAACCACAGTCATCAACACAATCACAAGTATTCTTCACATCATTTTACAATTTGAATTTCTTTCATGAACGGTCCTCCCACCAAGCACAACACAACAACAACCTTAACATAAAGAAGAAACAGTATACTCAAATGCACTAATCAGATGGAGGTCGATGAAAATTGTGCCAATATTTTTTTTGCAAAATAATGTACACGCCCGACCATCTCCCAACCACCCGCCTACAACTAGCCCTTAGTATTTCTCGCTGTGCCCCACCCCAGGGGGTGAACTTCCAGGCTGTATGTATATAGCGCTCTGTGTCCCCTACTGAGGCAGTCCGGAAGCACCTGCAGGTAGTCTTCGAGCAATTCCTGACACCCACGACAGACAGACATCTGACAGTAATCTGGAGATGTAACTCGGCTCATCGTCCCTATTACCTTACATAGAGCCCTGCTAACTACATAAGAAGTGTGTCAACACAACATCACCTACATTCAACATGTATATATAGCTCCACTGTCGCCAAAGGACCATGCAGGTATTGATCATAAAGGATGGTGGGGGCGAAGGCTTTTCTTTAACAAGACAACAAAAAACTTCTTACCCTTTGTAATTATATTTATGGATGGTCTATTATTACAATCATGAAACTCACATTACTATTCTCAACATTCTAAAATATTTTTTATCTTTCATGATGCAGTCAAGAGCCTGTCATGTGACTCTATGACCTATTCATAATGTCTACCCACAGTTTAATGGATGACTTTTATTGTCGACTCAGCATGTCCATTTATTCATGTTATGCACAAAAAGAAAACTCTCAAACATGGATCTTCAGGTCAGGACACTTTTTCTGTTGTAGACTTGACATCAGACTAATTGCTTTGCTTATAATTAAGAAATCACTTCAATATTTTTGTGTTTAGGAAGGTACAAACATAGAAACCAGTGTGCACGCTGTAAATTCAGGATTAATGCTGAGTGTTCACACAACGTTTATACCTCCAGTAAGTCAATGCATATAAATAAATATGTGAACAACAATAACTTCACAGACTCCTAGACTAACATATAGTCTCTGAAATGAACATATCGTACAGAAAAAACAGTTGCTCAGTTATCTTAATAAAAATATAATAAAAAGGGAGCCCAGTGATTCTCATCTGCAGTAATCTAGACTTGCCAAACATTATAGACTTGCATGGGCTTTAGTTGATATATTTGTATCAGGGTCTGTAAGACAGACGACACAGACTCCTTACTTAATCATTCACACATATAAACTGTCAACCACGAAATCAGTGATGTCATTCAGCCCATAGATGCAACACGAGCTCAGTGTAGTCTCTTATCAGCCAATCAGGAAACAGTAGTCCATTAGTAGGCATAGCCTGATGGTTTAGCTGGTTTATTGAAATATAGATGCAAAAAACAGTTGCTAAGTTAGCCAATCAAATGCCATATATTAATAAATAAATTTATATGAAGACAAATCCAGCTACGTGCCAGTTCGATTAAGCCAATCCAAGCAATCAAAGAAAAATAGACTTGAATTTATAAGAAATAGATGCAATACATTTTTGAAGTTTATTAAGAGTGCATACTTACATGGTTTTATTCTATATCCCAGCTCCAGATCGTGGAAATAATTTATAAACTCAGCTAGAGGTATCCGGAATGTTTCAAATAGACCCACTTCCATAAATAACTTATATGCAACCTGAAACAATCAACATAGGTCGTGAAACATTTGTCACCACATCTGTAGTTTCATCATTCAGTTTAACAAATCAACATAGGTCGTGAAACATTTGTCACCACATCTGTAGTTTCATCATTCAGTTCAACAAATCAACATAGGTCGTGAAACATTTGTCACCACATCTGTAGTTTCATCATTCAGTTTAACAAATCAACATAGGTCGTGAAACATTTGTCACCACATCTGTAGTTTCGCCATTCAGTTTTCAACAAATCAACATAGGTCGCGATATGATACGTATCCCGATACTATGGGTGAGATACTATTTGTACCCTAGTACAGTACTTTTCTTTCGAAAGTTGTTATTCTTTCTTTTTGCATGTGAATCAAAACCCTAAATCAACCTAGTCAGTGAGCCTGACCACCCGATCCTGTTAATCGCCTCTCACAACAAGCACAGTCACATTTCAACGACAAGCATGGGTTGCTGAAGACCTATTCTACCCCGGATCTTCACGGGAGGCAAGCATGGGTTGCTGAAGACATATTCTACCCCGGATCTTCACGGGAGGCAATCATGGGTTGCTGAAGACCTATTCTACCCCGGATCTTCACGGGAGACAAGCATGGGTTGCTGAAGACCCATTCTACCCCGGATCTTCACGGGAGACAAGCATGGGTTGCTGAAGACCTATTCTACCCCGGATCTTCACGGGAGACAAGCATGGGTTGCTGAAGACCCATTCTACCCCGGATCTTCATGGGAGACTAGCATGGGTTGCTGAAGACCTATTCTACCCCGGATCTTCATGGGAGACAAGCATGGGTTGCTGAAGACCTATTCTACCCCGGATCTTCACGGGAGACAAGCATGGGTTGCTGAAGACCTATTCTACCCCGGATCTTCACGGGAGACAAGCATGGGTTGCTGAAGACCTATTCTACCCCGGATCTTCACGGGAGACAAGCATGGGTTGCTGAAGACCTATTCTACCCCGGATCTTCATGGGAGACAAGCATGGGTTGCTGAAGACCTATTCTACCCCAGATCTTCACGGGTGCTAGCCAACCTGGAAATACTAGGGAATCTGGTGTTTGAAGCTGGTTGTTGAAGAGTTTCTGTGATTATTCAACAGTCACATGTTTCTACACCAATATAAATTGTAATGTAATGTATCGTATGTATCGTGAGAAAGGGGCTGTAAATCGATGTATTGTATCTTGGGCCTCGTATCAGGATACAATACTGTATCTATACACAACTAATCAACATATAAACCTATCAAGCGTTAAGTACTACGACAAACATATCAGTTTTCTGGAACAGCCTAACTGGTGGTCGAGTATCAGCCACAATTCACCAAATCAGCAACAGATTGGTCGTCTTATCAATATGGTTATAACGGAAGGTAGAATAGGTCTTCAGCAACCCATGCTTGTCATAAAAGGCGACTATGCTTGTCGCATGAGGCGACTAACGGGATAGGGTGGTCAGGCTTGCTGAATTGGTTGATGCATGTCATCGTATCCCAATTGTGTGGATTGATGCTCATGATGTCAATCACTTGATTGTCTGTTCCAGACTAGATTATTTACAGACCACTGTCATGTAGCTGGAATATTGCTGAGTGCGGCGTTAAACAATAAACAAACAAACAAACAATACACAAAGTTGTCACAACAAATGACTACCATTAAGAATATTATTATAGCAAAATAAATTTGCGACAACAAATGACAACACAAACAAGTTATGGATAGTTATTTCTTTTTCGGGCCATTGTGCAATCTCCATATTTATAGCACCCTTAGAAACCAAAGGCATTTTTCTTCAAGAAATTGCTGAAGAATATCAAATAAACAGAATTATTTCAAACATATTGGTTTAAGATTTATACGTTTAATAACCCACCACTGAGTAATAAGCCTGGCAAGATATTAATGGCTATTCATACCACGGACCCAGTCATCATTTATCAACCTAAGCCCACAGTCTTCAACATATCTGCCTTTGAGCTGCAAGGAGCTCTCACAACCTCATGGGACTACAACCTCTTCTAGAGAATCCAAGGCACAAAAGAGTTCAAAATTAATTCCCCTTTCATCATCATCGGCAACCAATACCCTTTCTGTCAACTCCTTCCCGGCAATGAAGGACATCTGTCCCTGAGGGGGCGGCACATGTCAGGGGAGATAATCAGTGGCTGCTCTGAAGATGTAGGGTTACTTGAGGTTTTGTTCCTGGAATCAGGACGCCAAGCTTTTCATCCTTAGTTCAGACCTGCTCTAATGTCCCTCTTGCACAGGTCTCCAAATAACGACATTAACAGGCCATTATCCACCTCAAGCTCACCAACTATCTTTCAGTAGTGTGATGGTCAGGACCGCTGACAAAGTCTGTCTGAGAGCAGCTTGGGTACTTCTCTCGTACATTTTAATCTTTAAAGTCAAATTGATGGTAATGACTAATTCTTTGAATATTGACCACAGACATACCACTACCGTTGGCTGAGTGATCTGTTTACTTGAAAATAATGAGAATCCCATCTGTCACTTGAGTCCTAACAGACTGACGCTACCAATGTTATGGATCACATCTTAGCAGACTGTGATGTTATAGATTATATCGTAGCAGACCGTGATGTTATGAGACATATCCCAGTTGACTGTGATGTTATTAGACATATCCTAGCTGACTGTGATGTAATGAGACACATCCCAGCTGTCTGTGATGTTATGAGACATATCCCAGCTGACTGTGATGTTATGAGACATATCCCAGTTGACTGTGATGTTATGAGACATATCCCAGCTGTCTGTGATGTTATGAGACATATCCCAGCTGACTGTGATGTTATGAGACATATCCCAGTTGACTGTGATGTTATGAGACATATCCCAGTTGACTGTGATGTTATGAGACATATCCCAGTTGACTGTGATGTTATGAGACATATCCCAGTTGATTGTGATGTTATGAGACATATCCCAGTTGACTGTGATGTTATGAGACATATCCCAGTTGACTGTGATGTTATGAGACATATCCCAGCTGACTGTGATGTTATGAGACATATCCCAGTTGACTGTGATGTTATGAGACATATCCTAGCTGACTGTGATGTTATGAGCCCCTTCCCAGCTGACTGTGATGTTATGAGACATATCCCAGCTGACTGTGATGTTATGAGACATATCCCAGTTGACTGTGATGTTATGAGACATATCCTAGCTGACTGTGATGTTATGAGCCCCTTCCCAGCTGACTGTGATGTTATGAGACACATCCCAGCTGACTGTGATGTTATGAGACATATCCCAGCTGACTGTGATGTTATGAGACATACCCCAGCTGACTGTGATGTTATGAGACATATCCTAGCTGACTGTGATGTTATGAGACATACCCCAGCTGACTGTGATGTTATGAGACATGTCCTAGCTGACTGTGATGTTATGAGACATATCCCAGCTGACTGTGATGTTATGAGACGTATCCCAGTTGACTGTGATGTTATGAGACATAACCTAGCTGACTGTGATGTTATGAGACTTATCCCAGCTGACTGTGATGTTATGTCTTGCTTCATTCAGGGCTATGGCATTATAGAATGTGCTAAGAGGAAGGGAAAAAACTATGCTTCAGATACTGTGAGACAGACTAGCACTCACACAGTCCTTGAATCATATAATATTCCCTTGAGAGCATTATTTTTCAAAAGTGCCACAGTTGAAATATGATTGATGACATAAAACACAGAAAGGGACAACTGACACAGTAGTATAGGAAGCTTTTTTTCCAAATCACAGTCCGATATAATCAATTATCATCTATACTTTAAAAAAAGACTATTTGAAACATTCACTGACAGTAATACCATCAGTTTTAATATCACAATTATGACATCACTCGTGAATAAATACACATTTATATTATGACAAATTAATAATGTTCGCTATCCAGATAATTTGGATATCACGCAAAATACAAAATGGAAAATTACCCAACGGAAACAATTATTATCGGAGTTTGCCGAAGTTTCAAAACTTTACATGAGGGATTACAGAAAACATTCCCAAACAAGCCACTTTGGCTGAAAATCCACCCATCACTGACAAATCACAGACCAGGAGCAGACCTTATTTTTTTAAATGAGCAATTTTCAAGTGCCTGGCATTCCAAATGAACATTAGTGGCGTGACTGAGGCCATCTCTCAGGATGAATGTTGAGGTGGTGACTGCCTGATCGGACTGGAGCTATGGATCACATAGATTGATGGCCGGATTTACAAGGAAAATATCTTCTGTCACAATCAGCTCTCAAGTCCATATTTAGACCTCCAGCTTCAGTATGTACAACACTGCTTGGTCTGTCTGCATTGGTTTCCATCAAGAAGATCTATTTATATTGGCTGGATGGACAGTGGTCCCATTTGGTGGCAGTAGTTCACACTAATGTGGTGTTTTTGAATTGGGGACTGTAGCTGACCTTCAGTATTTTTGTAATTGTGTGTAAACTGCATCTACATAAACTGATCCCTCCTTTTCTTTTGAAGGGGTGGCGGTCGGGTAGCCTAGTGGTTAAAGCGTTCTCACGTCATGCCGAAGACCCGGGTTCGATTCCCCACATGGGTACAATGTGTGAAGCTCATTTCTGGTGTCCCCCGCCGTGATATTCCATGAATATTGCTAAAAGCAGTGAAAAAAAACTCACTCATTCACTTTTTTTTGGATGTGAGGTGAAATCGCGATCAAGATAATTGCACTTATATAGCGATGTGCATGTATGTGTATGTGTGTGTGTGTGTGTGTGTGTGTGTGTGTGTGTGCGTGTGCGCGTGCGTGCGCGCAGCTGCTTATACTAGTCTGGACTTCTGCTGGTTTTCTAGTGCTAGCTCACAGAGACACTACACTGCAGCTCTTAACATGGACTCCGACATGGACTCCGTCCTAAGCTCCCTGTGAGATTAAATCACATAACCATCTCCTCCTACCAGGTACCCATTAACTGCTGGGTGAACAGAGGCATATTTTGAAAAAAATTCACTTTCCTCAGAAGACACCAGATGTGCCACATGTGCTTCAGTGTCATACCAAAAGATGTTAAAAGATGGTACTTGTTGTTATCCTGTCTGGTGCTTGGCATTAAGGGGAGATAACAAGGACTGGTCGTAAGCCTAACCTCACCTCACCTCATGCTCCCTGCATCACTTTCAGTATACTAACACTTAGTCAATGAAAACATGTCGTAAAAATAATTTAATTTTTTTCTTCGAAAAAACCTTTCCTCTTCTGCTGTTTTGGAATCAAGCAAACTAGACTTGGTAAGTTTGATCTGGACTTGCCTAGGCTTTTAGTAACACAAAATACCTTAATTATATAAATTCCAGTGTCATGGTGCAGGACTACACTTTCAGCTGACACCAGTCTTATCATTAGGAACCATTACCAGCCAAGCCTACCAGGCGGGACAGAATTTTACAAAATTAGGGCTTTGGAATAGTAGGTAAAGTTGCAGACTGAAAATCATTTCAAAGAAAAGTGAAGTGACTTTAGTTTAATGTCACTTTGAACATTAAGTTCAGTAATATGATGGCACATCAGTTAGATGCAGGTCCTAGGTGTTTACCACAGGGGTGAACTCACATAGTCAGGACAAATCTGGGGTTCAAACCAACAACATAGGTTCCTGGCACTCCAAAGGGACATAACTGAGAACTGCAGCTCCTGAGGCAACTCAGGGCCTCTTTCCCCCTGAGAATGGTTTGACCATCATATCGCAAAAAATACCAGCTTGAGTAAACCCTCTTAATTTTTTTAAATTTTGTTCGTTGTTTAGAGCCACATACAATATTCCAGCTATATATGGAGAAGTCTGTAAATAATCAGGTCTGGACCATACTAAACAGTGATTGACATCCTGAGCATCGATCCATGCAATTTCTGTAAATAATGCAATCTGTAAATGTGCAATCAGCCAAGTCATCGAGTCTGACCACCCTGTCAATTTAATTGCCTCTTACGAAAAGCATAGGTAGCTGGGGACCTTTATTCTTACCCGGAATCACCATAGGTTGAACAGATACCACCAGCATCAGCATCCTCAAACGCTGTAAATGTCTGGGGGTGATTTGGGGGGGTTAAAGAGACGATGTTTACCACTTTAGTGAAACCAGTTGGTATGGTTGAGAAAGGCCAAGTTTCATAACTGGAGGGAAAATGGAATTGATACCAACGACAAGCAGATCCTGCCACTCAAGGGACACAACTCTGCAGAGCAAATTGTGGTGCCGTAAAGACAAGTGGACCACCCATGCACCTTCACCTTTGCTGAAAATTGCAAAAATTCCCATGGTCTATTTCTGTACTCTGCACTTATGCACAAAAGACATGTAGCCGACATGCACAGATAAATAAGATTTAAACCACTTCTGACACTAAGGGCATCACTGAGTCTTAATACTTTCCAATGAATCCTATGAAGAAGACTTGAAGACAACATTCAAAAGGCTTTTGTTTCCCACTTGGTTCCAAATCAAAGAAGAATTTGATTTTCTGAACAAAACAGAAATCGAAAGTGTTACAGTGAAACAAAAGAGAAATCATCTAATAACTTTCACTTCAATATTTCTGCAATCACATGGATGAAAAGATCAAAGATCACTACAAGAGACAATGCCCTGTGGCCATTATTATAACAAACAATTTCCTGGCCAAATCCTTTGGTCTCTTACAGAACCTTACTCAGAATCTTTGAGGCATTTCAATTATTAACCAACGGATTTGTGCTCAACTGGTTGGCAGATGAGTGCATCCCATATAATTGAAATGACAAATAGACAAAACTAATCCAGGTACATATCACAAATTAACTACAGTGATGTGGAATTATCGGAAGGTCCTTATATTTGTTTGGAGTAGTATAGATTCACACTTGTCCAAGCTGTTATTTCAAACTAGTGTTATACCAATATTTCACCTTACAAAAATTGACATTTATAACACGGCTGATAACATACTGAAAGCCTGCAAGATGTCGACAATTTCATGAGATCAATGTTACGTGTTTTCAGATTTGAAGGTGTTTTTGTGCATTAGATGGCTGTAACATTCTTGTACGCACTCAAACAATGTGTACACACACAGCTGTGAGACAGTGACGCCGTTCTGATAAGTTTGTTTTGTCTGTTTGTTGTTTAACATAGCACTCAGCAATATTCCAGCAATATGACGGCGGTCTGAAAAATAATCGAGTCTGGAACAGATAATCCAGTGATTGACAGCATGGACATAGATCCACACTATTGGGATACTATGACATGCATCAACGAAGTCAGCGAGTCTGACCACCCAGCTGAAAGCTACAAATTTTGCTTTGAGAAAAATTATATTTTTGGTTCACTTTGCTGTATGTGGGAACTGAACTTCAGAGATGCTTCCTCCATGTATTGGCCATGTACCCTCTTGTACACAGCACTACACCTGACCTGTGAAGATTCCGGGGTAGAATAGGTCTTCAGCAACCCATGCTTGCCGTAAAAGGTGACTATGCTTGTCGTAAAACGCCAGTAATGGGATCGAGTGGTCAGGCTCGCTGACTTGGTTGATGCATGTCATCGATCCAAATTGCGTGGATCGATGCTCATGATATTAATCACTGGATTGTCTGTTCCAGACTCGATTATTTACAGACCGCCGTCATACAGCTGGAATATTGCTGAGTGCGGCGTTAAACAACAAACAAACCAACCAACCAACCAACAGAACTACACCCAGGGGGCTCCCCTGTAGTGCCCCTTCTTGTAACACCCTCTCTGTGGCGCTAGAATGCTGTAATGTCCTGATATGCTGCCATAAAAAGGTAACTGCATCTTACACTACAAAAATGTTGTCCTGATGAATATCAAACTAAATATGTTATGAATATGCTAAATGTCAAATTTATTTAAAAAGTAAATACATTTTCCAGCTTCAGAATGTATTTGAAGTTTGTAGAAACACACTCCGGTTTATGTTTCACAAAGTTCAATGAGCTACTACTACGTACAAAGTGCCAATATTCATTCACACGGAACAAATTGGGAGCCCTGTAATGAGCCTGTAGACATTTCATCTTCTGGGCTGGAAAACGTAATAAAAAAAACATCTCAAAGATTAGAAATTACTCACCTTACTAAGAACAAACTCTCCCGCACTGTCAGCCAGATCAAACACGGGGAAATCCCAATCATTTAATCGACTAATTTGTAAAAGAGGAGCCTCCTCCACTTCGGAGACTTCGAATAAAAGTTTATTTTCAGTGCTGCCATCTACTTGAGATTCCTCCTCCTCTGGCGCTTCCACAGCTGCGTTTCCCTCAGGATCTGGTACCCGTTCTTCCGTCTTCGTCTTCATCTCTACCGGACTCCTCAACACCTCCTGCTGTAAACACATCACAGAGTTAATGTAAGTTGAAACATGGCGGGACTAGTATATGGACAATACCTGCTTCTATTCACCTGGTTCTTATCTGGTGCAGACAAACCAATGTGTGACACTGTACTGAATAAATAGAAGGGTGGGAGGCTTCGGTTAAAGTATCCTAAACATAAAATGTTTCCTGAAATGATGGCAGCCCGTCAAGTGTAACCAGGCCAGGATTCTGGTCCCCTGTTGCATGTTGCCAAGCAGAACAAGGCCAGGACCCTGGTCCCATGTTGCCAAGCAGAACAAGGCCAGGATCGTGGTCCCCTGTTGCCAAGGAGAACAAGGCCAGGACCATGGTCCCATGTTGCCAAGCAGAACAAGGCCAGGATCATGTTGCTCTATTGCCAAGCAGAACAAGGCCAGGATCCTGGTCCTCTGTTGCAGAGCAGAACAAGGCCAGGATCCTGGTCCTCTATTGCCAAGAAGAACAAGGCCAGGATCCTGGTCCCATGTTGCCAAGCAGAACAAGGCCAGGATCCTGGTCCTCTGTTGCCAACAGAACAAAGCCAGGATCCTGGTCCTCTGTTGCCAAGCAGAACAAGGCCAGGATCCTGGTCCCCTGTTGCCAGGCAGAACAAGGCCAGGATCCTGGTCCCATGTTGCCAAGAAGAACAAGGCCAGGATCCTGGTCCTCTGTTGCCAAACAGAACAAGGCCAGGATCCTGGTCCCCTGTTGCCAAGCACAACAAGGCCACGATTGTGGTCCCATGTTGCCAGGCAGAACAAGGCCAGGATCCTGGTCCCATGTTGCCAAGCAGAACAAGGCCAGGATCCTGGTCCCATGTTGCCAAGCAGAACAAGGCCAGGATCATGGTCCCATGTTGGCAAGTAGAACAAGGCCAGGATCGTGGTCCCCTGTTGCCAAGCAGAACAAGGCCAGGATCCTTGTCCCCTGTTGCCAAGCAGAACAAGGCCAGGACCCTGGTCCCATGCTGCAAAGCAGAACAAGACCAGGATCCTGGTCCTCTGTTGCCAAGCAGAACAAGGCCAGGATCCTGGTCCCATGTTGCCAAGCAGAACAAGGCCAGGATCCTGGTCCCATGTTGCCAAGCAGAACAAGGCCAGGATCCTTGTCACCTGTTGCCAGGCAGAACAAGGCCAGGATTGTGGTCCCCTGTTGCCAAGCAGATGAAGGCCAGGACCCTGGTCCCCTGTTGCCAAGCAGAACCAGGTCAGGATCCTGATCCTGTGTTGCTAAGTGTAACCAGGCCAGGATCGTGGTCCTATGCTGCCAAGCAGAACTAGGCCAGGACCCTGGACCCCTGTTGCCAAGCAGAACCAGACCAGGATCCTGGTCCCCTGTTGCCAAGCAGAACCAGGCCAGGATCCTGATCCTGTGTTGCTAAATGTAACCAGGCCAGGATCCTGGTCCCCTGTTGCCAAGCAGAACCAGACCAGGATCCTGGTCCCCTGTTGCCAAGCAGAACCAGGCCAGGATCCTGATCCTGTGTTGCTAAATGTAACCAGGCCAGGATCCTGGTCCCTTGTTGCCAAGTGGAACCGGGCCAGGATCCTGGTCCCTTGATGCCAACCGGAACCAGGCCAGGATCCTGATCTTGTGTTGCTAAGTGCAACCAGGTCAAAATCCCATTGCCAAGCGGAAGCCGGTCAAGATCCTGGTTCTTTGTTGCCCCAAACACAGCTATGCCTGCAGCAAGTCTGGCGTAGCAACAGTGCAAACCCAGATTCACCATGCTGCCGAAGAATGACACATTCATTGAGTCTGGTATTCTTAAGGGGGGCCCAAAACTTATATGGGGATACTGGGGGACTATTTCAATGTTGAAATATTCAATGTTGTCTGATGATATCAACATCTAACACCAAATAGATATAAAGCATTTTTAGAAATATCTTTTTGATACGGAATAAGTTAATGCCAAATGTTGTAAAAGGAATGTGATTCATCTACAATAAAAGAGAATGTTGTCTCAGCATTAGCTTAAAAGAAACAAGTTTTTCGATTCAGCCCCTTGAGATCGGAAGTTTTTTATCAACCTTATTGACAAGATACATCCTTCTGAAGTGTGCTTATCTGTGCACACACAGGTTCTCGTTTTACTCAGGACAGAGATGCTATCAGGGACCCATAGCAAGATTAACACTTCTTGGTACAGCTTGTTGGCTTTTTCACAATGAACAAGCAAACGTTGATCTGTCGTCTTCTGGAGCACAAAGGTCATGATTTAATATGTACATTGTTCTTGTCTTTGAAAGGCAAGTGAAACACATAAGGAAGAGAATTTATGTATGCCAACTTCTTTATTGTGTGTGTGTACATGTGTGTGCGTGTGTGCGTCCGTGTGTGCGTGCACGCATGCACGTGTGCATGTGTGTTCAAGATGTTTAACAGTGGTCTGAATATAATCAAGTCTGGACCACTCAATCCAGTGATTGACATCATGAGCATCAATCATCAATGTTCCAGATATATGACCGCCCATAAATAAGACTGGACTAGACAAACCAGTGACTGATATTGTGAGCGACTTGAGGATACAATGACACGCTAATGGCCAAATGGACGAACCATCCAAAGTCACCTTGTGAGACAAGCATTGGTTGCTTGTGACCAATTTTATCCAGGAATCCCTTAGGAGGACTCAATTTTTCAATAATTATGGGCAATATACATATGGATGTAACAGTATAGGTAATAAATACTACTCAAAAGATGTTACAGAACACCCAATTCTTTTATATTACTAGAGTTAATCTGTCATGTCATATTTGGATTAACAGCTAATTCAACTTGAAATGAACAACACATCAAAATGAATACAAAGGATTATTTTTATGTAATTGTTAGCAATATAATATCATTTATATTATTGGGAAAGGAAACTTCACAAGCATGAGTGAATTAGTGAGTGAGTCAGTGAGAATAGTTTTACGCCACTTTTAGCAATATTCCAGCAATATCACAACGGGGGACACCAGAAATGGGCTTCACATATTGTACCCATTGTTGGTAATCGAACCACCGGCTTCGGCGTGACGAGCGAACGCTTTAACCACTAGGCTCCCGACCACCCCTGAGGGAATTAAATCCAGACCCAATTCAACCCCAAAGTGGAACAAAGTCCTACATACCTTCTTTGGTGGCGATCCCACGAGTTCTTCATTAGTCCCTACGTTATCACTGTGGTCGCTGCTGCTTGGGGAGTCACTGCTCTCATAGTCTGATGTGATGTTAAACCGCTTGCTAAACGCAGAGCACTGAAGTTCTTTAGACAGGGCACTGACCTTCGCCCTGTCTCCGTCATCTTGCGCGTCTGACTTTACAAGGGGAGATAATCCTTTACTTTCTGCCTTGGTGGGGCTGATGGCACTCTCTGAAGATGTGGCGACCATGCTTCTTCGCATGAAGCGAGTGCGTGGATGAGACTGAGATGTGGGAGCTGATGCCAAAGAAAAGGAACGAGACTTTGGTATTGTCAGGACTACTGTTGTGTTGGAACTTGGTGAGGGGCTGTTGCTACGACTACCATTAGGACTGGAGCCCGGCGTCCCCTCTCGCGAGTGGCGGAAACTTGCACTACGTATACGGCAGGGTTCTGGTTCCAGGGTGGGCATGCCGGTAGCCGATGTTGTGGTCGTCCAAGTACTGGTTGACATCCGCCGGATCAAACTGGGAGGCAAGCTGCGACGCAGACGCTGCAACAGAGGAAGGCGGAACTGAGATAGTGTCAACAACAAGAAAGGACATAAAAAAAACAGGGAGGTTTTTGCTGTATAATGCCACACTCTACAATATTCATGCTATACGAGGAGACACGTGTTGCCCAGTCGTCTAAGGCACTGCGATTCGCTGTGCAGAGTTGCGTCCCTTGAGCGAGCTAGAAACCTATGATTGTGGGTTCGAATCCAGGTTTGCCCCGATTATGTTTCTAGGTTGTCAGCACCATACCCGTGCTCATGGGTTTCACCGAAGTGGTAAATGCTGACACGCTGCGATATAACTGGAATACTGTTATAAGCAGCATTAAACCCAACTCACTCACGATGACCTGTGAACAATCTAGTCTGGACCATCAACAACAGTGATTGATATTATGTGCACTGATCAACGCCAGACATCAAGGTATGATAACATGCCAAGTCACCATGCCCCATCCATTAAGTCATTTGTACAACCAATTCTAACCCTGACTCCCCCTAGGGTTCCTCCAGCTGTGGGGTGCACTTTCTTTATTTAATGATATACTAAAATTAATTCTAATCTTCAGGTTAAATAAAAAAAATTACATTTGTGTACCTTATGGTTTTATTATAATTGGCTTTGTTGTTTAAATCAGCTGGTTAGGTGGAAATACATATATTCTTTTTCAAATATTCCAATTTTGTATATAATCCTGCACAAAAGAAGTAACAAACATCCTCCCTGTCCATTAATGATAATCTACCCATGAAGATCCAGGGTAGAATAGGTTTTCAGCAACCCCTGCTTGCAATAAAAGGCGACTATGCTTGTCGTAAAAGACGACTAACGGGATCGGGTGGTCAGGCTCGCTGACTTGGTTGATGCATGTCATCATATCCCAAATGCATGGATCGATGGTCATGATGTCAATCACTGGATTGTCTGGTCCAGACTCTATTTTGTACAGACTGCCGTCATTTAGCTGGAATATTGCTGAGTGTGGCGTTAAACAATAAACAAACAAACCTGACTTTTAATCATAATCTCATTACTAAACATTTCCTCTTTTCATTGCAGAGATATGACTGAATAATTACTGGTGATCCAGCATACAGTGCATGGATTCTACAGATACCAGTCTAGACATACAACAGGCAGCTTCCTGTTCTGACAGTCAGGCCATGACAGCATTGTCCAAGTCTATAATCAGGTGTCATTAGTTCTGGAGATAGATTGACAACCATATACAGACATAGAGAACAGAATCTCTTGAAGCCCATCGTCAGAGTTATAATGATGTGTCTGTTTAATGTGGCAGGAAAACCTGAAGTGAGGCATGTCAAATGTGAGACAATTACCGCTCTTGAAAAACCAATGAGCAAAGTTATGGTGTTGATGGATTGGTATTTGGGGCACCGAGATGAAAACCCACAACCCCTAGATCCTTAGCACCAGTGGTATTGATAGATTGGTATTTGGGGCCCCGAGATTTAAACCCACAACCCCTAGATCCTTAGCACCAGTGGTGTTGATAGATTGGTATTTGGGGCACCGAGATTTAAACCCACAACCACAGGATTCTTAGCACCAGTGGTGTTGATAGATGGGTATTTGGGGCCCCAAGATGAAAACCCACAACCCCTAGATCCTTAGCACCAGTGGTGTTGGTAGATTGGTATTTGGGGCACCGAGATTTAAACCCACAACCACAGGATTCTTAGCACCAGTGGTGTTGATAGATTGGTATTTGGGGCACTGAGATGAAAACCCACAACCCCTAGATCATTAGCACCAGTGGTGTTGATAGATTGGTATTTGGGGCACTGAGATTCAAACCTTCAACCAGAGGATCCTTAGCACCTAATCAATCACAGAAATAATCAATACTTATAATGATTCTTTCATAATGTAATATTACACATTTTCCAGATGAAAACATTTCTGTTTGAAATGAATGAGATGCTAGCTTGGTTACCAATGCTCATAAATTCATAATGAAAAATGTCCAGCAGTAACATCGAGTCTGAAAACCAATAAGTCTTTGTCCTTGATTTACATGCATGATGTCTCCCAAAATCTGGGCTTATTATTCCTCCCACAGCACAGAGATCCCTGGCACCAGTGGCATTAAAACATGGATCTGTAGGCCAGGGCAAGGATTGTGCTAATACACACAGATTCCACCACATCCATAGTACTTCAATCTTACTGTAACTCTTCCAAGAAGCAAAAGAGTATTACATCAGTTGACTAATATTTAGTCTCTGAATGAACATGTTTAAGACTTTGATATGTTCAATTTTCATCATTTACAGAGTATTGAAAATGTGCATACAAATTTCAGATATTTTAGTTTAAGGGTTTGTATGTACCATAGTAAAAAAACAGGATAATCAAGACCTCTTTATTATTGTTAATTTGTGTTGCAATATCATGAACCAGACCCCTCTTTATTCAATACCAACACAGCATGAACTGGGGGGAGGGGGAAAGAGAGAGAAATTAGCACTCATAGGTGGTCAAAACTGGTGTAAGTCTTGTTCCTCCCATTCCCTTACAAGTAAGTATCAATGGCCAAGTTTGCAACTGGTTACAAAATCATGGCATGGTGAGGCATTCAGGTCACTTCACGGAATGCTCTAGCCAAACAGCCAGTAGCCTGGTCTGTCATACAGACCCTGAAACAAATACATCCAATACAGCCCATGCAAGTCTATAATGTTTGGCAAAGTTTGATGACTGTAGTATCCGAAAATGAAGAAAGTCCCTGAGCTTCTTTTTATTATATTTTATAACTATAATTTAACAACTGTTTTTTTCTGTAAAATATGTTCATTTCAGAGACTAGATGTTAGTCTTCCAGTTGCATTGCTCCAAAGCTGTACTGAAAGAAAATCCTTGAATAAGTAGTGATTCTATCCTAATAGGCAAGTCTAGATATGTCCAGATCTTATTTTTTACATAATCTAGAACTTATGATGGAAACTACTAATTATTGCGCTAGAGACTTGTGCAAGTCTAGGAGGCCAGTAACACACTCCAAAATGGCTGCCACTCTTAGCCTCGTTTCCTTGACCTGGATTGGTGTAGCTGCACTCCAGTGAGAAGATGCCACTCACTTCATTTGTCTTCACCTCATTTGATTGCTGGGAATGTCAGCCTTCCTCCACTGAAGTAGACATCTTTTCTATGTCACAATTACCATGTGTTGAAAGTCTGGGTTCTGGAATGTTTCTGGTCCGTTACGGACTGATCTCAATGCTATCACAATAGACCAGCGAACACAGTTACAGACAGATCTCAATGCTATCACAATAGACCAGTGAACACCGTTATGGACTGATCTCAATGCTATCACAATAGACCAGCGAACACAGTTACGGACTGATCTCTATGCTATCACAATAGACCAGCGAACACAGTTACAGACAGATCTCAATGCTATCACAATAGACCAGTGAACACCGTTATGGACTGATCTCAATGCTATCACAATAGACCAGTGAACACCGTTACGGACTGATCTCAATGCTATCACAATAGACCAGTGAACACCGTTACGGACTGATCTCAATGCTATCACAATAGACCAGCGAACACCGTTACGGACTGATCTCAATGCTATCACAATAGACCAGCGAACAGAGTTACGGACTGATCTCAATGCTATCACAATAGACCAGCGAACACTGTTACTGACTGATCTCAATGCTATCACAATTGACCTGCAAGCACCGCCAGATACCTGATACTCATGTTATGGCTGAAATTGTTAGAAAACGTGTCTCAGAAATGTTCTCCCGTCATGGCTACTGAACTTCTTCATATGTAAGTACGTCATCACCTTACAAAGTGATGATTAAGAACCAACTCTTTCTTCTTTGGGTTGGTTGGTTTGTTGTTTAAGGCAGCACTCAGCAATACTTCAGCCATATGACGGCAGTCTGTAAATTATCGAGTCTGGACCAGACAATCCAGTGATTGACATCATGACCATCGATGCACGTAAATGGGTAATGATGACATCAACCAAGTCCGCGAGCCTGACTTCCGGATTCCATCACGGATCCCGTCAAGCATAGTCGCCTCTTATGGCAAGCATGGGTTGCTGAAGACCTATTCAACCCCGGACCTTCACGGGTCTACAGACAAAGACAACTGGCATGAGAACACACAGTGCCACTATGGGTCTGAAGGAATGGCTTTACATATTTCCTGGTGTGTTTACATGCTGAAATGCACCAAAAATATTCTCCAACCAAACATTCGCACTTCATGTGAATTGTTTACACTTAATGAATACAAATGTCTTGAACCGTTCATTACAAAAGAATTTATCATGCCTCCTGCCTCATCTGTGTTTGTCAAAATTGGAAGATAATCTATTCCAGACAGCCCTCTAAGTAGTGACCGTTTTGCAGGCATAATGCAATTTAATTCTTTGATTGGCGATCTAAATTTATCTGCTGCTCGCCCTTTGGCTACCTAAAAGAAAACATAACTGGCGACAATATCTGTTGTTCCCAAAATCTAAGGTTTTCTCCTAAATTATCCGTGTGAGGAGCCGCATGGCTCCCTAACAAAAAAAAAACGAACTTAGGGGGCTGTTCTAACAATCAGTTTGTTGTAGCCTCATACGAAATATGTCATTACACATACAAAATATGTCATTACACATACAAAATATGTCATTACACATACAAAATATGTCATTACACATACAAAATATGTCATTACACCCCTGATATCTGAGTTGAGTGTAAGTTTGTTACAAAATGTAAGATATCCACCTTTGGCAATGAAGATGGTCGTTCCCCTGTATACGGACTTTCCTCGCTGTCCGAGCCATATGATGTGGACTCGGTGAGAGACACAAGGGGGCTGACTTTTGGCTTGTGGATGCCCGAGTGACTCTCTGGCGGCTTCAGGAGACTGCTGACCACCCGCAGGCCACTCACAACGTGGGGGGGCAAGTTGGTGTCCGCCAACATGTCGTTGATCAAACCATGCGCCTCGCCAATGATGGCACTCTCATAGCCTACTGATGAACTCTACAAACAGAATAAAAGCATCATCAGAAATGAAGCCATAACATCAACAAAAGGGAAATCATAACTTGACAATTCAAAGGACAATATGGCTGTCATAGGAAGACATGATGGTTGTGTCCAAAGCAAATCACATCAAAACATTCAAAATCAATATGGCTGTCATGGGAAGACATGGTTTTGTCCAAAGTGAATCACATCAAAACATTCAAAATCAGTATGGCTATCATGGGAAGACATGATGTTCACATCGAAACATTCAAAATCAATATGGCTGACATGGGAAGACATGATGGTTGTGTCCAAAGCAAATCACATCAAAACATTCAAAATCAATATGGCTGTCATGGGAAGACTTGATGTTCACATCAAAACATTCAAAATCACTATGGCTATCATGGGAAGACATGATGTTCACATCGAAACATTCAAAATCAATATGGCTGACATGGGAAGACATGATGGTTGTGTCCAAAGCAAATCACATCAAAACATTCAAAATCAATATGGCTGTCATGGGAAGACATGGTTTTGTCCAAAGTGAATCACATCAAAACATTCAAAATCAGTATGGCTATCATGGGAAGACATGATGTTCACATCAAAACATTCAAAATCAATATGGCTGTCATGGGAAGACTTGATGTTCACATCAAAACATTCAAAATCAATATGGCTGTCATGGGAAGACATGATGGTTTTGTCCAAGGCAAATCACAATTGAAACCTTTAAAGACAATATGGCTGATACCATGAATACTTATAAAAGCTGAATTTAGAACCAGCTTTTGGGCGTCACGATTAAATCAGTGAGTATGGTTTTATGTTGCTCTTAACATTATTCCAGCAATATCTGGCAGGGAACCCCACGCAATGTGACCATGTAGGGAATCAAACCCGGGCCTTCTGTGTGACGGGAAAATGCCTTAACCACAAGGCTACCCCATGTATCTCCATAAATCTGACCATTTATTTCTAATGACTGACATTACACTGTGAACCATTCAGTGTCACGTTTGGTTTGGTTTGTTTGTTGTTTAACGCTGCACTCAGCAATATTCCAGCTATATGGCCGCGGTTCAGTGTGACGTAGAGACAACCAACTCCACATACTGAATAAGCGGGACCATAATAGAAATCTATTTTCACATGGACTCATTACTTCTGCAACATATTTGAAAGGACCTCTAGACATCAACACTTTCACTAGGTTCCCAAATATTAGCTAAGTTCGAAAAAACTCTCACTTGATATATAAATATATTCATTTTTTTTCCCAATACATACACATATGAATATGAAGAGGAAAGAGTGTAATTTTCGCGGTTTCTTAATGTGGTTGATGATAGATAGTATACTTTGTATATTAGGCCACAAAGCTTTCTGTGTCTCCAGCTTGACAGTGTGCAATGTGTGCGGTCCTCTAGATACTATCATATTTCACTACAATGCAGTGCATACTAAATTGAGACAGAACTGTTTTTTCATCCCAAGGCTGTACAAACGTTGAACTTGTTTAATGGACGAGCCTACTTACACAATTCATAAAAATAAAAAAAAGAACTTTTTCGCCTGAATAGACTTTTCTTTCTTGTGCCTTTTTTCTCTAGAACTCCTATTCTCAGAGCTTGTTTGGGGGATATTATCTCTAAATCAACCCTGGCAGGAAATAATTTTGTATTCAGCCTCCTGTCTCTGGATACATTAATAAAAGAAAATCTGCAAAACATGAAACTTAATTGATTATAAGTTTGACAAATAATGAGAGAGAGTCATGGTAACAGATTATATATATATATATATATATATATATATAACTTTTACTCCTTGGTACAGCAAACCTATAAATATCCTAAAGATCCACATTACATAACATACCAACTTTGTTTGTGTGGATGTGTTACCTTCACATCAACGACATGAACAAATTAAAATAATGCATAAACTGTATCAAATGAATCATATTATCCACACAACTCCTTAAGGCTGATGGCGAAGAGACTTTTGTTGTAAATCTAAACGATTTTAATAACGCGATGACAGTAATAATATAAGATTATGGCAATGATGTAATGGAGGGATGATCATTTGCAGGAATTTTAGACAGTTATGTGTGAATAGCTGATGTCAACAACCAAGTGCTACATATCAGGAATGATGCTGAACAAAGTGTGTCTGGAATAATGATATTTCCCACAGAAACATGCATAAAACTGGTATATTCACACTGCTATAAAACACTCTGAAAAGTGAGATAGATGATTACAAAACAATGCAGCTATTAGAGCAGAAAACACTTCCTGGCACAACGCCTTCTTCACAGGTAGTCAACCCTAATCAATGACAAGCTGTGAAACGGATTAACTATTCATATGAGGGGAAAACATCCTCACCATACGTGGGCTGTCGACCGCATTGTGGAACAAGCATCCAGAGCTTCAAGGGAAAACCCCAAATACAGAGAAGTCCATATGTCACATAAGTATTATTCCATGTAACTGCCTCGTTCCAGTAGCATACATCTATATATATATCATGATTTGAACCCTCACATCAAATGCAGATGAGTTGGTATATCTTGATTTGAACCCTCACATCAAATGCAGATGAGTTGGTATATCTTGATTTAAACCCTCACATCATAAATGCAGATGAGTTGGTATATCTTGATTTGAACCCTCACAACACAAATGCAGATGAGTTGGTATATCTTGATTTGAACCCTCACATCATAAATGCAGATGAGTTTGTATATCTTGATTTGAACCCTCACATCATAAATGCAGATGAGTTGGTATATCTTGATTTGAACCCTCACATCATAAATGCAGATGAGTTGGTAAATCTTGATTTGAACCCTCACAACACAAATGCAGATGAGTTGGTATATCTCTTGATAAGGTCATGTCTCATACAACTTAGTTCCTATTTATTATCAAGGTGATGTATTATACAGTTTAGTTGATACGTATTGATAGGACCTTGTCATACGAGTTAATATGTATTGACACCTCAATTGTTGATGGTCTGACAATGTTTCTGGTAATGAGATTCTAATGAACTCAACTAATGTCTTTTTAATTACCAATTTAGAAAGATTTTATGCTCAGCTTCCTGTTGCTAATTAAATGCAAGTTTTTAGCTTAGATATTAATGACACATCATCTAGGATACTAAATGAAAAATAACAAAAAAATAAGAGTAAAATTAGGATAATGACAAAAGTAAATCTAGTGTGACGACAGATTATATTCTTCTGAGATAATCATCAACCAACTAACACCGATGAATACCTAGTGATGACGTTCGTTTTATCATCAATTCTCAATCTGGAGACCAATACACACAGCTTACCTCTGACATTCAACGAGTTTTCAGCTGAAGAACCCTGTAATAAATTCAAGGCGATTGAGGTAACGGTACATTAAAGACGTCATTAATTGTGGCATCACCATGGGGTCTAATATTGTACTGTGATAACACTTGACCGATTCCAGTAATCACTGCCAAGTATAGAGCTGGCCCAATTCAATATTCCTCTATCCAGATTCTTGTTGCAAATTATTTATAGTACAGAGAGGTCACCACATTGACAGTCATATTCTCTATGTGCAACTTTAGCAATAGAAACATTATGAACCATACAATGCCAGATACAACCGTGTCTGACCTGGAGATCAGCTATTCATGTTAGTCATGGTATATATCGGCTGAGGTCAAATCAGAAGACGTATAAGATAATCATCAAGGAATACTAAAAGGCTGGAAGAACTAGTACAACATGTGGCCTAAGTATACTAAGGAAATCCCTTTGAGCACACATCTGATGTACATCATGATTTACCATATCTCCAAACATAGACAATTTATTCATATCAAGTTAAATACCCTTTTTATGTTACGCAAAGGCTGAACCGTTTATTAAAGTACCGCTCAATGGCTATCTTGAAATTCGTAAAATGACATATCATGTCACGAGTACTAGTCTCGCCTATAATTGAAGAAACAACTCTTGCATTCATTGATACTTCTAAAGGCCATTTTCTCATTTAGTTATCATAATGAAATGTCGGCGTCTTCAGAGCCTCTTTCTTATCCATTTTATCACCAATGGATTCCAAGAAAACAAATTTGACATATCATTCCTCCTACATAATGACATATTGATACAGCAAACAATAGAAGGCCAAATGCAAACAAATTTCAGCGATCTATCATGGTTTTCTTACTCTTTGATTTTCTACAATAAAGTGTCATTAAACTCTTTGCTATTCAAACCCCCCCTTGCCAAAGCTGGTGTCACTAATTGAATGAAATCAGAGATCACACCATCTTACCTATATGAAAAGAATTCACAGCTACTTTAGAAGACAAATGTGTTCTCAGGTATATAGCGGTTAATATTTCAAATGGTTACATTGCCCCACAAAGGTTGACCTTGAAGGCAGTATTGATAGCAAACATTACCAGGAGCTTGCTTAGTAGGTCTGGGTGTACATTTCAAACACGTCAATCAAGTGGTGTAGGAACCTGGTCAAGCAACATGGTTTCTTGGCAGAAGTCCTTGATTGGTTGTCCAACCATAACCTAATTGCCCAACCAGTTTTAACTGCTAAACAAGGAATCAGTTTAGAGCACTGAAATGTACTGCCTTGTCACGCTTGTTGGCTGGATTGTCTATACCCTCCATTGTGAGGGTCTATTCCCTTCCCTTACAATTATACTTGACACTGTAATTAACATTGTCCTTAATATTGTACTTACAATGTACTTACATTGTACTTAACACTGACTTAACATTGTACTTACATTGTACTTAAAACTGACTAAACATTGTACTTACCATTGTACTTAACACTGTATTAACATTGTACTTAACACTGTATTAACATTGTACTTCATCCAGGCCATAAAACTTTAAAGTCACATTCTCCATTCATCTATCACTGGTCATATTTATATTCTGTATTAAGTGCCCTGCTATAATAAGTACCCCCTGAGAC